CCTCATAAAAGAGGGGTTCATGCTGAAAATGGATAAAAAATACATACTAGTAATCAGTAGACCTGAGTTCAAATTCTACCTGGTGTTGAAGGCCAAAATAACTCAACCCCCTACCATGGGTGAGTGCACCACATACTCAGTAGGAATATCAAATCCACTGGCCGAGATTCATTTACTAGAAGTCCTAAACATGGAGTATGATTTATGTGGCAAAATGCACTATATGTCAGCCCTCGCAAATGCCATATAAAAAAAATCGGACAAAAATATTTGTTTTTAAATTTTAATTATTTATTTATAAAGAATTAATAATTCCTTCTTTAATATCAAATTAAACTTGTAGCATCCAATACAAAATAAATATTGTGTATAATAAATGTGTGTATTCGCAATAATGTGCATGGCTACTCGAATATTGATGGTCTACCAAACATCGTAACCACCTAGACTCATGTAATTTCTTGATCATAAATACGCTTCAGTGTGTAATCTACCCTGTTTTGAAAACTCAATGTTGACATGTTTTTGACACATTTGACAGCTGTTACGCTGGCAATAACATTTGATAATAGCTGTACCATGTACACACAAATGCTTTTCACTTATGTATGAGGTCACAACCCAGCTTTCTCAAACTAATAATACTCAAAATTGAATAAATAGCAATTATTCATAATCGCAGGTTTTCGACATAGATGGATAATTTTGGCAATAACAAACTTCAATAAGCGTCCGATATTTGATGCATTTATTAGATGGCTCCAATTCCGATATTCAAATTGACGTCCATGTTACAGCAGTTGAATGCAGTTGATCAGACTGTACTACAGACTATTCTCCGAGTAGCATAGCTAGCAATGGAATGTTCCATTTCTATAGAAAACCTGAAATTATTAATGTCAATTTCTTGTAACCTCCTGAAGGCTTTGTTATAAAATCTATAATGGATGCTATTGAAAAAAAAAACATATTTCCATTCTTTTCTGTAGCTAATATGTAGCTAAGGTGTTTAGAAATTGAGAGGGTATATTTAATGAATAGCTTAATCCCTTAGCTTAAAGGGGCACCTTCCAGTTAAGATTAATTTCACAACAAATTTACTTTCTGGATTAAAATAACAATGGATAACAAAAGATAGTTTAACATTGTAAACAACATAAACAATAGTGTCCCATGATTCTTTGGTGCAATCCATGGGATTGAGCGGTTCCCCTTTAAGGGTTGACCACTAGAAATGCTGAGAGGGAGCATAATAGAAAAACTGCAAATTAATTCTTTTCAAGCTTAACTTAATTTTGAGCTTGATTTTTTTTTCAGCATCATGTTTTTGAAGATTTTTTTTTTTTGGCTTTCCTACGTCATTCTTATCAGATGTAGAATGTATTTTTAAAATGTTATCTATGCAGACCCCCCCCCCCCTCAAAGTTTCTAATTATCAATCTTTTATGGGCTTCATTCAACAGTTAGTAATTCCAAAATTAGCTTGTGTGTTGGAAATAATGTTACTATGGTTTTCAAGACTAATTTCTGGTATATGTTGATTATTGTGAACTTACAGGATTAAGCATGTGTGGTCTGTGATGAGTGACAGAGTGTCTGTGCTAATCATGGAGGGCTTCCAGTTAATATAGAAGAGCTCATTTTATTCGAAGCTGTAGCATCTATTATTGCCAAACCAATCTGATTAAAGTTGCTTTATTTTTACAAATGTTGTATTTAGACTGTCAGTGTACAAACCGTAGATTGCAACCAAACTGGCTATTTATCTAATTTGACCTTTCTGATTGTATCAAATCGGTTTGACTTTACATTAGCAGATTGAACTGTTCAAGACAAATTTTCATAAATTTGCGAGTCAGATAAAATCGTAATTTTGTTGCAGTGGACACTCAGAAAAGAAAAAAGAGATCCATATTGAGTAAACCGCTGTCAGTCATTCTAATAGTGATTACGTGAACAGATTTTTATGCATTAGCAGACATGTTTGCCTCCAAGAAGTTGAATCACCACACTTCTATTACCTTCTCACCACCTTCTCACTGCCGATATTTTGTTGCATTACTATATTATTATATTTTGGATTACGTTGGATGAACTAGACCTACCCCCGGTAATTTCATATTTGCTACAGGTGTTGATCAAATTAAAAAAAAAAATCTAGAAAGAAATATTCGTATTTATTTATTGATGTGAAAATTGATGTTCGCAGTCCTTGAAGACAAAAACTCAAAGTGACTTTCTTAAAATGATCAAATTTGTAGTGATAACATTATCATGGTTCATGGTGATATTTGCCATGAGATACTGGACTGATACAACAGCGTAGATACTCTATCTGAATGCTCAGTGCCCTTCAACAAAGTCAGACACTTCAATTAGACTCATAATAGGAATTTCTGGCCTTGGAATGTCCTGAGAATATGAAGTTCAAGCGTAAATAAAAAGGTAAAAAATACTGTGTTTCCATGGATACCATCTGGTGTTTCCTGATAGTAATTACAGATATTGTTTATTAATTTTAAGTATAATACTTAATACTAAACTTACAAGGTCACCCTGCCCATCAGGATAACATGTCAGGTCACTAAATCTGGTAGTAGAAAATAAACTGACTTTATATAATAAAAAAAATTATAATACTGGTAAATAATTATAATTTTAACAGTGATTCGAACACTAAATCTTGCAATTAAAATTTCCTAACAATGAATAAATGATGCCGTAAGATTAAGGCATAATCAGTGAAGATGTTTGCTTCCCCAAAATATACTATATGAAGATAAACCAACAGTTGCATGCATGGTATATTGGATCAGTGAGAATATGGACTGTAGACATATCTGTATGCGCTATTGATAGAGCAATAATAGTGTTATACATTCAGACCAATTATAATAGTAGACATACATGTAATGCTAAAAGCATGTAAAATATTGCATGTTGTACGTGTAATCTGTCATTTTCAGCTGCCAACCTTTCTTTTATACTTGTGTATGTAACCAACTAACAAACAAGAGAAGTCGGAACTGGCTTGTTTTTCTGCATTCCATTATGCAAAATAGTCAAGTTGCTTGGTTACCATGCGTGTAACAATGTCTGTCTTGTTAGCAATGAGGTTTGATGGATGCCATCAGAAATATGAATTTTTAAACAAATTTTTTTTCTATACCAAACATGTATTTGTATTTCAGACATGAAATATAAAAAGCTTTTTAGCTCCGCTGTCGACTTTGTCGAGCGGAGCTTATCATATGAGTGATTGTCCGTCGTCGTCGTCCGTGTCAATGTTTTACTTTTTCGACTTCTTCTTGAAAACTACAAGCCTGAATGCTTTGATACTTGGTGTATATGTACCTTGGGTAGACCTCTCTTAGGTTTGTTCATTTCATGTTGATATCTTCAATTCTCTAATTTTGGTGAATATTTTTATCATTTTTGGTAAAAAGTGATATTTTCGACTTCTTGTTAAAAACCGCAAGTCCAATTGCTTTGATACCACATATATAGGTACTACATGTGGACCTCTCAGATTTGTTCATTTTGTAATGATATCTTTAATTCTCTAATTTTGGTGAATATTTTTATCATTTTTGGTAAAAAGTGATATTTTCGACTTCTTGTTAAAAACCGCAAGTCCAATTGCTTTGATGCCACATATATAGGTACTACATGTGGACCTCTCTCAGATTTGTTCATTTCGTGATGATATCTTCAATTCTCTAATTTTGGTGAATATTTTTGTCATTTTTTGGTAAAAAGTGATATTTTCGACTTCTTGTTAAAAACCGCAAGTCC